AGAACTTTGTTAATATTTCTGCTGTATTTTCTTTGTAGACAGTATGTGAAAATCTTTATCAATAAAAAAATTACACGATTGCTGAAAATAGCTATGCTCTAATAGTAAATGGATGGATTGTTTACAATTTTTGAATGGAAAAATCAACCTTATCGAATTTTTCTTTTGTAAACATTTTCTAAAATATCCGATCTTGAAAATAAAAAAAGTTTCAATATCTAAAGTGGTTCTTGAGTTATGGTCTGTTATGTGTTAAGAAGTTGAGTTTTTAAATTATCGCGATTACTGACTTTTCTCTTTATAAAAAAAATGACACCCTAACGATATCCTTATAATTCCATTTCAGATGCTCAGAAACCTGTTTAATGATTTTATCTAGTTATCTCTTGAAAAAAAAGTATTTTAAAAATAAGCGGTTTGCGATCGTGATTTTACTTTACTTGATAGGGAAAGGCGTATCGGCAACGCCACAACAGCACACCGTCGCGCGTCGCGTCGGTCGGTCGCATTTCTCTCACTCCGACTTAATAAGATCCCTATGCGAGTTACTTCCACACATGTAAATGCCGACCCAAAAGTAACAGTTGCCAGCACGGTATGCATAAAATCAATAGATGCCTTATTAATTCAATTATGACCATTAATGAGGCCAAAATATGTTTGATTTTATTTGATTCATTATGATTTTTTTTTAGTTTACAACGTTTTTTCTCTCAGTGTAACAATGTGAATAAACCACACAATATTTTTGACCGTGTTTCAGCTTAAAACACCCCCCTGTGCGAGGCTGGCCACTTCCAAACTTAAGGCCCACAAAGTGACGAGGAGAGGAGGGGAGAAACGCAAGAAGCAAGAAGCCCCCTTTACGGAGGAGTCAAAGGCCCATCTTTGCGGATGGAACGTAGTTATTAAGCATCATTAATCAACGGTCAAGGCAGGAAATGTTTCAACCCTTCGGCCAGAAGGGCCTGTGTGTGCTGCTGCTGTTACTACACCGCTACTTTACATATTAGGAGCCGGCCGGTCCTAGTCTCAAGACGTATGGAGCCGCAAAACGCCAGACCGGGGGCAGTTTGGAGTGGAGTTTGGGTACTATAGTCTGGAGTCTGGAGTGCCTGCGAGGAAAGGAATTTGGGAAAGTTGGTTTCGTAAAGGAATAATTAATAAAAAATGTTAAGTTACCCAATAATTTTTTTTTTAGGAAAAAACATTTAAATATTTTTTTTAAACTAATATACAACGAACCAGTAGAAAGAAAAGACATTCTAATAAATTCAATTCAAATTCCAAAATAGCTTCATTGACAAAGCATTTTAAAAACAATCAAAAGCACAAAAAAAATACAAATAATTAATAATAAAAAATATCATACAATACAAATCATACAATTCAAAAATATTGACGTCATTAAAATCACAAATAGAACATAGTACATACATACACTGAAAAAAAGGATCTCTCTCGAAATGAATATGACTTTGACCCAAAAGATTGGCGCTTTTCAATAGGTCCAAGAACGACGTTTCTTTGCCCAAAGCATCATTCATTAACTATCTATTCATAAGTTTTAAAAAATTACTTTAGAGAATAGAAGAATCTATCTGTCCAAAGTATTTCACTCTTGATCCAAAATTAATATGCAAAGAAGTTCTTGCTACAAAAACAATAGTCTCTTTGATTCATGCAAAAATTCTTGATTGAAAAGGGACATTTCTTGATTAAAGAGACACTTTTCTTAAACCAATAGCGAATACCATTGACTCAACTAAAATTTATTTTGATCTAAGAGAAGTCTATACATCATATACAGGCATATTACGAGGTATATTATTTTCTGATAAATTTAGGTTTTCCTGGTCTGTAGTAAGTAAAGTGATATTGTTTTCCTCGATAGTAGTTATTTCTGCTTCTTTAACTTGGTATTTTTTGGAGTGGTTCATCACTCTACAAATTACAAAAAAATGTTACATTACGACTAATCAAAGTAAAGCAAATAAATTATTAAAGTTATGGTTTGGTCACGTTTTAAATTTTTTAATACGACGACGTGAAATTCTAAAATTTTTGTAATTATTTGCATAAAAAATTGATATACCTATATTCTTATTCTCTCTATAGTCACGCATGCATTATCTAAACAGGTGCATTAGGTAAATGTCTCTTACCATCAAATATAGCAAATCAATGCTCTAATTTCCATTTTTTCAAAAACTCCTTTAAAGGATCCATATATCCTAAAGTTTGTCCATAAAAAATGACAAATGCATGTTAATAACGATCACTAATTTGTTATACGATATGCGTTTAAAAATCAAATTATGCAAAATTCCAAGTGGAAAATTCCAAGCAACAAAACCCGTGCGTACTATGATATGCGACCTATGAAATGCGACGTATGACTGATTGTATATACCGTCCTTCGTCATCGTCTTTGCGTGTCGTTATTATTTTCCATCAAAAGAGTATTTAGCTATTGGAAAAATGGCCATGTTTCTTGAATGAAGTACTTCCTAGCGTATTTTTATTATTATCTTAAAACAAAGTAACTTACATTTGCTTGAATGAAAATAGATTCAAGAGAAATTTTCAAATTTTTCATGAGAACCAGTTTTCTTGAGTTAAGAGAGTATTTCTTCAGACAAAATATTTTCTTTTAGCCTAAAAATAAATTCTCTTGCCACTAAATTTTGTTTTTCAAGAACGATGACGACTTCAGTTCAAGTCTATCTTTTTTATCAGTGTACATGGCAGAACCAAAAAAAACGTATCAATTAAAATTTTACAATTTTAAAATTGTAAATGGTGATAATCACTTAATAGTTATTATAACATATTAAATACTAGACTTTTTTAACCAGTGTGTGAGATAATCAAAATTTTAAAATTCACAATTGTTCAAGATTAAACATCAACAAAAAAGTCGGTTACCGCCAGTAAGTATGATTTCAGAGCTTTGCGAAATGCGGGAAAGAATGAAAGCGACTTGATATCCATAAAGGCAGATGATTGTACATTTTTTTGGCATTGTACAGTTTTGAGCCTTTAACTAGTTCTGAGCTCGGGGTTGGCAGATCAAGATCGTGCTCCGCATTCTTAAGTAGATAGTTGTAAGGTGATTTTTCGGGAATAGCAGATATATGCTTGCGGATTAAGCAGACGGGTTCAAAAATGAATAAAGAAGGAAGTCAGTATTTTGAAATTTTTAGAGAAATTCTGGCAGTGATTTCTACTGTTCAGTCCCAATAAATATCGAACTGCTCTCTTTTGAAGTCTGAAAATACGATCAAATTTTATTGCGCAGCAAGTACTCCAGAATGGAAGGGCATAACGAAGATGTGACTCAAAAAGGGTATAATAGGCTATTCCAGATGTTGATAAGTTAAGTTCCTTAGAAACTGATCTTAGCGCAATACAGGCAGCGCTTAATTTCTTTGATAGAGCTTCGATGTGAAAGTCCCATTTTAACGAGTTGTCTATAACAAGTCCAAAGAATTTCACAGAGTCCACGAGTGTTATTAAGTACAAAAGGTTGTATAGTACTTTTATATGACAAAACTTTAGTTTTTGATAGGTTGAGGCATAGGAGATTAGAATCGCACCAAGATTTAATGGGAACATCTGGGTCGCTCCAAGTGAAACTAGTATCGTCCGCAAAGAGGCAGATTTTACCACTAATAAGTATTTTATATTTAAGGAGAAAAGATAGAAACCCTTTTTTAACCAATCTTTCAATGATCTTAGATAGTGTGGGCAGGAGTGCAATTGGGCGATAGTTCGAAGCTTCATCTATATCTCCTAATTTGAAAGCATCGTATTAACATACTTTCTTCTTTCATTATTTCGTTCTTTCATTTCCCTTATTCTACATTAGAACTTTTTCAGTCAACTCTCAAATCAAACTCAACTTGATCATAAATCTGTTTTTATCATATTGTACTGCAATTTTTTAAAATCTTATCCACAATCATTAAAATTTGATTCAGTTTATAGGTACATTTAAGAGTAAGTAATAAAAGCAAAACGAGAATTTTTCTATTACAACGTGCGTCTCATATCCGCAGTAATTATGAAAACCATTTTTTTTATAGACTCATAACTAAATCACTATCTAATTATAAAGATGGCAAAGACTATTAGTAATGTAACTGGCAAATGACAGAAGTAAACAAAGGAAGATAAAGCAAGCTGAAACATACTGTGAATATAGTGTTGAAATTTATATATTTATTTATATAAAATTTCTAGGTTGGTTACGCACAACCTCTTTTTATATAAACCTTTTCATTTTATTTCACCATCAAGTCCAGTAGAGTTCAGTAAATCATATTTTCCAGCTTTGCAAGTAAAATATGATCATAAAATTGAGCATAATCAATATTTTTCATAGAGTATGATACAATTATCTACAACAATTGCAAAAAAAAATACTGCTGAAATCAGGAATAAAAGTTATATTAAAAACTTTAGAAACCCAAAAGCTTTGCGTGTACACGTAGCAATTGCAATCATCCTCCAGACAGTTATATTTCTCAAAATTACAGACAGCAAAAAAGAGAAATTCTAAAAGTTTAGAACACAGCAAAAAAGATTGCCGGAAAATTGCTTTTTTACCGTTCTTCTTTTTTCTCTCTTTCTTTTAACGTTCCCAAAGCACAAACCAAAGAAACACAACTTGGTCGTGCCCGCGACAATCCGAAACCGCCTCGCGTGACTCCAACTCCCCGTCCGTGTTTAAAGTAATAAGAATATCAAAGGTACGTATCGACGGCCTGTTCCTCGTTTTTTTCCATAATTCCTACCTGTAATTCTAACCGAGGTCGACACGACAGGCGTAGTCCCGCCCCCTACCAGTTCACTCCACCCACTTTAACCGGTCAGGGAGTTTCCTATTGGCGCGAAACGGCGTCACGTGACAGTCCACCATCCTCCCCGGCGCGTAAAGAAAGAAAAACAAGCGGCGCTCGCAGTCGACGCTCGACAATCGTTTTCGAAATCTCGAAGCGCGGGAACGGCCGAGGCTTCATCCCGCTGCCGTGGCGGATTTACGGGAATTTGTTCTTGTGTTCCTGGTGGGAGGAGGGAATATATCGGGAATACGCGCGAGACGCTGTATTGTTTTTTGGACGGTTTCGATATATTGTAGTGTGGGATTTTGTTTGTGATCGGTTGATCGCGGTTTTTTGCTAGTGTTGATCATATAGGAGATTATTTGTGACTGTTGGACTGTGATGGTGGTTAAGGAACGTGGGAGGTGTGATTTAAGGACTATACTGGATCGATGAGGTAAAGTCTTTTATCAAATCGCGTTGCAGTCTTTTCACGAATATGATATATTCGTCATCATCATTTTCGGCTGATTCAACCATTTCCAATTATGGTGGAGCCTCCCTCACATATTTAGAAACTCTCTTCTAGGTTCCTTAATTCCTCGTGGGTACCTTCCTGGAATTGTCGTCTGTCCTTCTTGAAAGGTGTCCTGCAATCAATATTGCCACTTAAGGGATTTGATTCTATGGATGACCTCTGTTACCTGGGTCTTTTGTCGTATCCACTCTATTCTTTTACAGTCTTTTTTGGTTATTCCCAGCATATTTCGTTCCATTGAGCATTGTGCGACTTACAGTTTCATTTTAATGTCCGATTTAAGTCTCCAGGTTTCGCATGTACTGGAAGTACACATTGGTCAAATGTTTTTTCTTTAGATAAAGTGGCATTCTAGATATGAATATTATTGAGTTTCTTCCGTAAGTACTTCATGCTAACTTAATTCTTCTGTTGATTTCTGGTAGTAGAGATTCCGAGCTGGGTATTAATTGTCCCAAATTTATATATTCTTCTATTATTTCCAGTGTTGGGTTATTTATTAGAATATCTTTTCTGTCTACTAGTCATTGGCGTAACTACAGGGGTGCCCGGGTTGCCTAGGTACTGCTGAACACCCCCCAGAGAAATCCTGAATTATAACTCTTGGCTACGTATTAATTTTTATTTGCTTGTGATGTAGTAAAAATGACGTTTTCTAGTTTTGTTTAGTTAATATTCTTTGGTTGTGTTCAATAAATGTGTTAATTTTATTTTTTTTTAGAAAGTTTGTAGGTATTTAAGTAATCTACGGGAACACGGTCTGATAACCAAGTCTATGAAATTTATTGATAGAGAAATTCATGTAAACGTTTTATTCAAAAGACATGTTTTTTAACATTATTCTTCATTTTTTAAAAAACAAAAGCCCCAGGCCCCCCCTGGCTCAACCCCAGGCCCCCCCAGGATGAATTCCTAGTTACGCTAATGCTGCTAGTTCCTTGTACATTACTTTAGTTTTTGCTAAATTCATTTTGAGGCCTACTTTATTGCTGGCTGTATTTAGTTTGGTTTGGTTTAATTTGTGCTTGTAACAGTTCTTCAGAACTATGTCATCAGCGAATCTTAGATGGTTAAGATATTCCCCATCTATTTTTATCCCTTTGTTGGTCCAGTCCAGTTGACGGAAGATTTCTTCTAGTGTTGCTGTAAACAGTTTTGGGGATATCGCGTATAAAAAAATAACCTAACCTAACCAACCGCCGATGAATGATGTATTTCTTGAAATATGTAGCAAGATGCTTATTTGCTAAATAAAACACTTAAGTAATGGGCCATGATAAAGCTAGCTCTTTTAGTGGATTCACAAATGCCATTTTACTTTCCTCAAAAAAGGATTTTCTAGGATCTTCTTTTACTTACTATAATAATTAATTGCTGAAGTATCAAATTAAGAAAATCTAATTCATCCAATTAATGAGAACAAAAAAAGGCAAAACATAGTAAAGAAGATAAGCATTATAGTAAACTAGTAATTGTGAAAGAAATAATAGCCACATTAGGCTTGGAACACGGATGGTAACTATAAGTACCATAACCCTTCATAGTTAAAGTTCATTCTGCACCACAACATGATGTAAACATGTAGAATGTATGGGATATGTGTTAATCACCGCGACCTTATAGATTTATTGTGTGTCCCTCTTTCTTGAGTTATAGCGACTCATCATTGACAAAAGCCATTATCTGAGACGACTTCACAGAGGCTAGTTCTTCATATCCGATAATGATTATATAATGTTAATCGAGGAGTTGTTTTTTAACCCTAACTTTAAAACACCCTGTGCACTAATTTCGTGTGTAAATTTTCTGAAAATAAAATTTTACGGTCAGAACCATAACTCCTGAGCATTTTGTTTTTTAATTCATGTCAATATATGCTTTGGCTAATTTTTAAGAACGAAATGAACTGATCAAGATCAATTTGCATTTTTTTTAATTATGATTACTTTTTGATGAATTTTTTTTAGCATGACGAGATGGTTTTGGTGACTATTGTCACAAAAAAAACATTCAAGACTAACCATACAGTCCTGGTTTTAATAAACATTAATAACGATAACAGAACTAACGATATTAAAGAATGCATCTGTAATACATACTTAAGTATACAAATAGAAAAAAAAATTAAAAAGTAACCTAATACCTTGCATTACTTCCCTTGACTGCTAGTACTGCCTGTATACGTCCGTTCACACTGTCATTGAGGCTGCATAATACCTATATCATATTGCGTTATGTTTTCTCATTTTTCTTTAAGAACCAAGTAAAGTTCATTTAATGAAGCTGGTACCGCTTCACGATCTCTAACCCTCCTGCCAAGCATGTTCCAAAGTTCGAACATGATGGGAAGTTCATAGTAGCATATAGTTCACAATAATCAACAAAGCCGGCTTGTCATATTAAAAAGAACTGATAATTGAAAAAATTGCAAATTGTTGGTGACAAGTTTCTTTCGCTCTTAAAAATTAACCACAGCATATTTTGACATGATCCAAAAAACAAAATACTTAGGAGATATGGTTCTGATCGTAAAAGTATATTTCAGGAAAATGTACACACGAAATTATTGCACAGGGTATTTTAACGTTAGGGTAAAAAAAGAACCCCTCGATTAACCCTGTATAATATGCCAAATACTAAAGTTTATAAAAAAACTGAGTATACGAATTAAAGTTGATATAATTATATACAGGTTGCTAAAAAAATCATGAAGATAAGGCTAAAAATCACAAAAATATAACACTTTAAATTTGACCCAAAATTTTTCCGTTGCGTTTTTTTTTCATCTTAGTGTATATTAATTATTAAACTATATTAAATATACTTAAATTTAAAACCCTATTTTCCAACATTATTTTCTCATTATATTTCTCTCCTTTTCCATCATTTTTCCAGGATCAAGCCAGAGACCGGTCCAGTTCTCGTCCATATGCCGAGGGTTGGTCAGTTGGAGGACGAGGTCGACTTCGTGGCGGTGAAAACGCGGTCCACCACGCCCGAGGAGGCGGCCGGTGGCGGCGGCCCGTACTGGATGCCTCCGCAGGCCGCCCAGGGTGGCGGAGGAGGCACTCCCAGGCACCCTATCGACGGGTGCGGCGAGACAGGCTTCATCAACAGTCAGCCGTCGATGGCAGAGGTAAGATAACAACAACAACAAATAACGGTTTATTGTGCAAAAAGCCAAAACACCTTCATCGACAAAGCATTTACAAAACAAACAAAATCACAAAAAAATATACGTAAGATAACAACAACAACAAATAACGCTTTATTGTGCAAAAAGCCAAAACACCTTCTTCGACAAAGCATTTACAAAACAAACAAAATCAGAAAAAAATATACAAATAATAAAAAATATACAATACAAATCATAGGTACAATTCAAAAAAATTTAAGACATTAAAATTACAAATAGGACATACATGGAAAATTGCAGAACACAAAAAAGGCGTATCAATAAAATTTTACAATAGGAAGATTGTAAATAGATATAATTTTAAGAGTTATAAAATATTAAATACTTGACCTTTGACCAGGGTGTGAGATGATCAAAATTTTAAAATTCAAAATTGTTCATGATTAAACATCAACAAAAAAGTCGTTTACCGCATATAGGGCTCTCTCCAGTAAGTATGTTTTCAGAGCTTTGCGAAATGCGGGAAAGAATGAAAGCGACTTGATATTCAAAGGCAGATGATTGTACATTTTTTTTGGCATTGTACAGTATTGAACCTTTAACTAGTTCTGAGCTCGGGCTTAGCAGATAAAGATCTTGCTCCGCATTCCTAAGTGGATAGTTATGAGATGGCCGTACGCAGTAAATAGATATAATTTTAAAGTTATAGAATATTAAATACTTGACTTTTGACCAGTGTATGAGATGATCAAAATTGTAAAATTCAAAATTGTTCATAATTAAACATCAACAAAAAAGTCGTTTACCGCATATAGGGCTCTCTCCAGTAGGTATGATTTTAGAGCCTTGCGAAATGCGGGAAAGAATGAAAGCGATTTGATATTCAAAGGCAGATGATTGTACATTTTTTTGGCATTGTACAGTATTGAACCCTTAACTAGTTCTGAGCTCGGGGTTGGCAGATAAAGATCATGCTCTGCATTCCTAAGTGGATAGTTATGAGATGGCCTTTCGGGAATAGCAGATATGTGCTTGCGGATTAAGCAAACGGATTCAAAAATGAATAAAGAAGGAAAAGAGTGAGTATTTTGAAATTTTTAAAGAAATTCTGGCAGTGAGTTCTACTGTTGGTCCCAGTCCCAATAAATATTTACTCTTTTGAATCAATCCCCAATCATCTGTCCCAACAAATATTTACTCTTTTTATACTCTTTTGGAGTTTAAAAATACGATCAAATTTTGTTGCGCGAGCAAGTACCCCAGAATGGAAGAGCATAACCAAGATGTGACTCAAAAAGGGCATAATATGCTATTCTAGAGGTTGATAAGTTAAGTTCCTTAGAACCTGATTTTCGCGCAAAACAGGCAGCGCTTAGTTTCTTTGATAAAGATTCGATGTGCAAGTCCCATTTTAACGAGTTGTCTACAACAAGTTCTAAGAATTTCACAGAGTCCACGACGTCAATAGTGGTGTTATTAAGTACAAAAGGTTGTATAGTACTTTTATATGACAAAACTTTAGATTTTGATAGGTTGAGGCATAGGAGATTAGAATCGCACCAAGATTTAATGGTGCGTAAGTCACTGGATATTGTATTATATAGTGCCGTAACATCTGGGCCGTCTTTTATTCTGTTTTTTCTTATTCTAGATATGGTACAAGTATAAACTGTCATATTATAGTTATAGTAAAATAGCATATATAAGGAAATAATAAAAGCAAAGGATGAGTACTGAGAAGAAAGATGCCAAGAAGTCAACTTAGAAGCTGGAAACACAAAAGCAAATAAAGCATGGAAAATTATCAACGGAATGCGAAGGCAACATAAAGATACTGCAGGGATGAATATTATTCCGATCGAGGATTGGAAGACTTATTATCAAAATCTGTTGACGGAAAATAGAACCGAATTCATACAAGATCATGAAAGTCATCCTGTTAATCCATCCGAACCTGAGCATCCAACACTAATAAGCTCTGCAGATGTAAATAAAGCCCTCCAACAAATGAAAAATGGCAAAGCTCCAGGTTTGGGAAATGTTTCAGTAGAACTTTTAGAGGCTGCCCCCTCAGCAGTTTTGGAAATTCTGACAGATATTTTTAGTAGATGTTTAAATGGAGAAGACTCGCCCAAAGAATGGAAAAAAGCGATTATTACGTCCATATTTAAGAAAGGGAGCCGACGCGACTGTGAAAATTATAGAGGAATTAGTGTAATTTGTACTGTTGCTCGACTCTATGGCAAAGTACTAAAACATAAGATAGAAGCACAAATAACGGAATCGGAAGAGCAAAATGGTTTTAGACCGGGACGCTCATGTACTGATGGCATTTTCACTCTTAAGCATCTAATCGAAAAAAGGCTAGAAAGGGGAAGGACGGTTCACTTGACATTTATTGATCTACAGAAGGCATACGATACAGTGCCACTGAGTAAGTTGTGGGTGTCAATGCAAAATTTTGGTATCAGTAGTTGGTATGTCCAAGCAACAAGAAAATTGTACGAGGGTTGCAGTAGCACAGTTAAACTTGGAAACAATATTTCCCAAGAATTTCTTGTGAATAAGGGCTTAAGACAAGGGTGTCCATTAGCACCAACTTTATTTAAAGTATATTTGGAGGAAGTACTGAAGTGTTGGAAGATGAAATGCCGTGGAATGGGAATCCCAGTAGGAAAAGACACTTTATATACCTTACTCTTTGCCAACGACCAGGTCTTGATAGCGGGAGACAGAGATGACTCCAGTTATATGTTTAGAAAACTGCATGAGGAATATTCGAAATGGGACCTAACAATAAACAAAAAGAAGACGGAGTACATGGTAGTGGGTGATGACGAACGTGAGGATTTGGATGTAGGAATCGGCACAATTAAAAATGTCTGTACATTTAAATATTTGGGCGTCACTTTTACAACAAATGGAAAAAGCACTCAATATATTGCAAATAAAGTTGGTCAAGGAAAAAGAGTTATCGGTCAACTTAACTCGTTGTTGTGGAGTGACAAAATTTCCCAAAAAACAAAAATTCTACTTTATAAAGCCATTGTAGAGAGCATTACCACTTATGGCGCTGAAACGTGGGAGCTAAACAAAGTAGAGAAAAATAAGTTGCTGTCTCTTGAAATGGATTTTTGGCGAAGAAGTTGTCGCATTTCAAGACTGGAACACATCTCAAATCAAAGAATACGAGAAATTATAGGAGAAAAAGAAACTATTCTCGACTCCATTGATGGCAAAATACTAAGTTGGTACGGACACCTCCAACGAATGGATGATAACCGATAGCTAAAAAGAATTCATTCATGGACACCAATCGAAAGGCGGAAACGTGGAAGACCACCTCGAAGATGGAAGCAGGGCGTAGTTGACGCTATATATATATATAGCACTATATATATATATATATATATATATATATATATATATATATATATATATATATATATATATATATATATATATATATATATATATATATATATATATATATATATATATATATATATATATATATATATATATATATATATATATATATATATATATATAATATAGCATATATTTGATAAATTATATAAAATATTGTGTTGAATGACTACTCAAATATAAATATTTCGAAAAGAATAGAAATTCTATAAATAGATATGCCACTCCAGAACAGGATTGGAAACCGATCTAGAAAAACACGTAGCCCAGTTTACTTGTCCGCGCACAAGTGTCCGCCTCCGTATTCTATGCAAAGCCAACATATCACAACCGGTGTTGACATAGCTGTTTGCTTGTCCAGTAACGATAAACACGTAATTGATGGTGGGCAGTAGAGTCGCTGAGAGATAAAGAAAAATATGTTTTCAGTCCAACATTTGTTATTTTTTATACAAGACGATAAAATGGTATTTTATCGTCGACCGAAAAGATTAATTATTCACGAGCGATTAAATCGCAAATGAATTAATTTCGGGAGACGATAATGCAATGTTATCGTCGTGTATAAAACAATATTTTTTTCCATAGCGAGTTACGTTTTAAAAAATATTCAGAAATTATTATTTCAAGAAATTTATTACGAGTAGAAAAAATATTGTGCTGGGTTGGCCTTGGTTTCTATGTAATTTGACAAATAAATAAAGCTGTCTTCTTTAGTCAGTTTTCAGTCAATATTTTTTAAATCTCTTTAGTGTCGATTGCTGATGGAACTGGAGCCAGAAATGGCTCAAAACGAAATAAGTAACTTACCAATAGATATTCAGGCTGAGGCGATAAACGCCACATTCAAACTACTTCCATTTAAATCCCGAATAACTTATGAAAGGGAATACAAAAATTTTCAAAAATGGAAACAATTAAAAAACGTGCGAAAAGAAATAAAGTTTTTAACCTATCCTCGCTGTTAAAATATCATTTAATCTACCCTTGCGGTTAAAGTACTATTTTATCTACTATTTTTGATAGATATAAGACAATTTTAACAGTTGCTATTGAAAAATATTATTTATTTATTTATTTTCTTTCCTCCATTGGTTTATAAGCTTTAAAATCTTCTTCTAGACCTCAGATAAATGTGGCAACTTCGCAACAGTACACCGTCGCATTTTTCTCACTCCGACTTATTAAGATCCCTACGCGATTCACCTCCACACATATGAATACCGACCCAATAGCAAGATCTGCCAGCGCGGTATATAAAAAGATATTGCCAAACGGTTTAATTGATTTTTCTTTCAGTTTATGACAGCGTTGCCTCATCTCTCTGCCGAGATGCCACCCCACGGACCCCCCATGAGCCCTCAACACACACCACCAGGTGGATACCCTTTGGACGTTCCCCACGGAATGGGATCACCGGGAGTCAACGTTCCAGAATACCCCTGGATGAAAGAAAAGAAAACCACAAGAAAAAACAGTCAACAGGGTAAGTCTAAAAATTTCGTACTATGCATATATGTTGACATTTCTATAATCTTTTTATTGCTATTAATTTTGTTAACATAAATAAACCTAGTTTAAAAGGGTTTTGGAAGTGAAAATTCTTTACACGCGCTGGGAGTAAAAATTCAAGGTCGTGACACACGAGCTAGCGAGATGAAAAGTGGTAAGGACCGCACGATCGCGTAAAGACCAAAAAAGATTTAATTTAAAGCTAAGAAATTCATTATAATAAACTTTATACTGTACCTGTGTACCACTATCCTCTGATTGAGTGCTAGGAAGTAAATGTTCAAGCGAATTTTCAACGATAGGTTTGTAGTTTCTGAATAACGGTCTAGTTAAAGCATCTAGCTCATTTGCTAGCTCAGAATTAGAACTATTAGAGTCAAGCAACTCGAATTTTCATTGGAGGACTTTCTCATATTTATTTCAAACCAATAATCAACGAGAATATCTCGTATAATTTAAGAAAATTGCAGTAAATCACTATAAAAAATGAACGAGACATGAAAACAAAAACAGACCACACGAATTGTTGGTTAGGTTCAAAATTTCTTTTTTTCTTAAATAAATTTTGAGAGGCATTAACATTATTAGGCATTTGCATAAAAGTGTGTATTTTGGGAGGTATTCTACAAAATTTGCAGGCTACTGAGGATTACAGAAATAAATTGAAAATAATATTTATATTAACAGCATTATATGTCACTTTTTTAAGCATGTCCTTCAAATCCTTCAATTTAGTAACTGTTAGTAAGAAGTTCACCTAAACTATCTTTAATAATAATTCATAATAGGACTAAGATAGTAATATAATAAGTAAGTATATATAATAGTAAGAGAACAATAAAAAAATAGAAAATTGGCCATCTCTCCCTACGTTGCGGGAGAGATGGCCTTCCAACATGGGAGAAATGCCCCGCAAAAAAATACATATTCATATTGGTTAAATATCTACGGTTATTTTTTATTTTTTTAAACTAATATCTGTGTTTTTGTTTGCCTCCCTACGTCTCAAAGTCTTTGCAAGGATTCCAAAAGCATGCATTATGCTTTTGTGCCCATTTGGTCGGTATTAATGGCTTGCAAAGCAGCAGTCAATGATTTTTCAAACCACTGAGCGCTTTCGGGACATTTTATTTTATATTCAGTAGACATGATTAAAAAAAGTTACTTTTTAGTAAATAAATTAGTAGGGCATCTTTACCAGCTTTCTATGTGGCATCTCTCCCAATACGATGGGAGAGATGACCACTTAGCAAGGTTTTAAAATGCAGCGACATATGAATAATTTTTTGAAGTTATGATACTTCACGAAGGATGTATTTTAATATAAAATGGCATTAAATACCCAAAACTTACATAATATTACGTTATTCCCACGCGACCTCTGACAGTAAAAAAATATGTACTTATATAAAAACAGTTCTTTGTAAAAACTAGCCTATTTTTTTATTGACATTCAAATTATGTCAGACCATAATAGCAGCGGGTAAACTACTGCCGTATCTAGCAGGAAGCAACTGATATAAGTCACATAATTAGAAATTTACACGCTGTGGCCATCTCACCCGGTGGGGCATCTCTACCGGACTTGACCTAAGTCATTTTTACTGAATATGAATAGAATTTTTTTTCAAACGCCACAAATAACTTTTTAAACAATCTCAAACGTTACAAATAATATAAAAATATTTAAAAGTCGTACCTTGTATATAATTACATATCGAGAAACTATAGTTACGCTCGTTGAATTTGACACTTTATGTCAGTTTAATAATATATTTTTGTGAAAGCGTTTCGAAATTGACAGTTTTTAATATTTATTTGAGATTCGAAATGACATTATTTTAAGCATTAGTATCTAAAAGTGACACTTGTTTGCACTAGTGCAGGGGCCGGAAAGTGAAATAGCAAAAGCGGTTCCACCGTTTCCACGGAAATTTCAAATAAAATAGTTCCAGCCTCAGGCGCTAGGTGGTAGAGCAATTAATTTTTAGGTTAAGAAGTCAGATGGCGTTAAATCAGGATTTTTATGTAGTTTCTATAGTTTCCAACGGCCATTGTCATATTATTGTCAAATTCTCAAAAAATATTGTCGTTGTCATAGCGCCAGTCATAATATTATCAAATGATTATCAAAACGTTTTTCGAACTATAATTTTTGTTATAGGTATGTATTTTAATTAAACAATTCATTTTGTTTGTGGCCCTAAAAATATAATGTAAGTCTTTTATTTTTGCCATTATTTACCTATTATTATACTATTAGTACTTATTTATATTTACTCCATTTACAAAACTTTAGGCGTATTGCGTTGGTCTTGTTTTATTATAATAAACGATGTTTAAATATTTGACTTATAAATAAAAACTTTAAATAATAAATAATATTTACAAGTTTGGCTTAATTTTATTTAATAATTGTATAGGTTGTACTGTTAAATCTTATTTTTTACACATCACAACGATACTTGTTATTAGTATTGTTGAATTTGTGTAAGAAAATCTCAAATTATCCGCTCTCACAAAAAATGTTGTATGAAATTCGTTGCGAAAAGAGTATTTTAAGCACTTGACACATTGTCCAACTCGGCTTTCGACTCGTTGGACAATTTTGCGTCCCGTGCTTAAAACACATTCATTTCGCAATTTGTTACATAAATAGCTATTTTATATTGTCAATCACGTCGCAAAAATTAGTACTTTTGTGACGTTTGAAAAAAAAACATTATTTACCCTTTTCCAGTCGCAATTAACCGCCGAATTGTATATACAAGGATCGAGGTTAGGCTAAAACGGCGCATCATCGCCAACATTGTTTTTTTCCGCAGCACGAGCGCAAAAAATCGCCGTCAATTATCCAATAACCTACTTTTGCCGACCGCCGGTCTCTAAAATTGCCTTTAAACAAGAAACGCATTGCCGCGGCACGGCGGATACATCAAAGGCTTTAATAAAGCCTTCCCCCCTTTTTTACCCTGCCCGCTGCCCCCCTTGTTATCCATGGGCGGAGGTGAAGAAGGGGGGAGGAACGGTCGCTGTTTTTTTTTCCACCGCAAACTTTTATTTATTCAACCGGGGCACATACATAAAGCCAATTCGGCACGGTGAATTGCAAAAATGCGCCGCATATTAAAAAACGAAAATTACGTATCGTATTATAGTATACAAAACAGAAAATAAATATAGTGGAAGGGAGGAAATGTATGGGTGATTTTGCATAAGAGGTGGCCCAGTTTTTAGTATTTGTATGTATAAAATCAAAGACATTATAAAGATAGACCGAACATCTCATTCATAAATACTCGTTGGTAGTGTATCAAACATCCCAATGTGTCAAACAAGGACAGAAGAGACAGAGAAGTCTAAAATTTCCGACCCCGGCAACTAGGCGCATTTGGGATTGTTCTAATGGCCAGTGGCGTATCGTTTTTTGGAACGAATTTAATTAGTAAAGTAAAAGTAAAGTAATTAGTAAAATTTTTACTCCATATTAATATACTACATTAACACTTTTTCGTCAGATGAGTTTTGTTATAAGGTCTAATATAATAATACAATTAATATCCCACATATACTTATGTTGAAACGTTAGTAGTTTTCGAAAATCACTCCAACGTCGATTTTCAATTTAAACTTTCAGTTACTTCTATATAAACTTTCAGTTACTTTTGAATATTTACAGGGTGACTCAGGCTTCCGAAACAGTTCTATATTAGGTTTGTGGTTGGTGACTCTTCTTTCATTTTTTTTTCAGAATATGGAGGCATTTAGGCACATTTTAGACATTTTTGTAAACATAGGTGGCCGGAACATATTTTCAAACCAAAGTTGTAGATTTGCCATTAAATTTCCATTCCAGAAATACCTAGGGTTGCCACTTGTTCTTTTTTGAAAAGGACAGTCCTTTTTTGGAATAACTTATCCTTTTGACTTTTTTTAACTTAAAAAGTCATTTTTATTTTCGTATTTTCCCTGAGAAAATTACCTACAGCAAACAGAAATATTCTTTTCGCCCAAATTTAATTAGGAATGTTATAAAACTTAACTTATAAATAAATTTTTCTTGTTTAGAATAGGCAACATTATTTAGAACTTCCCGTTTAATCACAAATGATCGTTTAGGTTTTAGTTTTACCTTTTTTATCTTAAAAGAACTTTTCAAAATTAGTACCTAATTAGTAACGATTTAGTTAGTTCGCAATCGATAGCTTCCTGTGAAGTACTGTGTAATAGTTGTTTAATCTTGTATTATTAATAACTTCCTATACCTAAAATCAATATTTAATGAGAAAATTGTGTTTTTTTTGAAAATATAAGACAATATTTGACTTTCGGTCTTCTTCTTGTATTATGATGTCTCTGATACGAGGCAATTGCCTTTTAGTCTCGCAATAGAAGGCATTTATCATTAAAATTATAAAATCTGTGTGCTACAGTATGGGATTTCTGTCGCATAATAATAAATACCTATTACGTTTATTTACAAATCCATTACTTTTAAAGGTAGCTTCATCAGATAATCAAATTTTAGTTAAATATCCTAATCTTCATGAACTGTATTAAGCATATGTATTGCGGTTTGAATCACCCTGTATGTTGACAAAAAAATTTTGAAAATGTGCGTTACAATGGCCCCCATCTGCGTTACAATGGCCCCCCTTTTATCATCGTAAAAAATTGAAATAAAAATCACAAACCAAAAACGTAATAGGTAAAAAGCTTTTTTTTGATATAGGTATGTATAAAACTAGTAGCCTAAGAATTATTTACAGTTCGTCCCATTCTAAAAAAAGTTAAACACACCGTACAAATAACTCTAGGAAGATGTATTTGTACGGTGGTAAAAATTGTCTAAACAAGGCCGAAGGGGCAGATATAATAAAGCTAATAAAATGTAAAAAGGTCGGGTAAACACCTTTGTTTATTTATTAAGCAAAATTCCTTTAGAATATCGTATATAATGACCAAAATAAGACG